ATTCTGGATGTGCCCACTACGCTCTCAACAAAACTTCCCAAGGATTTTTAGGCACAAAAGCTTCACGCGCATGTGCAGCAGCTGGATTACCACAAAGACCATAACGGCCCTAAGAGCCGTTACGGTATATCAAGTGAGTAAACCGAAAACTAAGAAGGATTTACACAATGACCATAGTGGCTCCCTGGGAGCCGTTACGGTCTATCAGGTCAAAAATCCACTTTTTAAAGAGCGCCTAAATATGTGTATACCCAACAGGGCCTTGAGTCTCCGGAGCGACTATCACACACGCTTTCAAAATGAGCCAGGGAAGAGAAGAGAGATTACACCAAACAACGAAATAGAGATTTTTTTTTACAATAAATAAAAGATATATCATGCAAATTCAGAAGTCCTATATGTAAAGGGAAAAAAGTGCATGTTTAGTTGAGAAATAGGATGCAGCACTATTTCTTCATTGTCAAAACAGGTCCTTTTAGTTTGTTTAGTTTACTTTAAACGAGAATTAAATGAAAAAGGAAATTTCCCACCAAACCCAATTACTTCTTAAAATAAAAGTTAGGTTTCACGAGGTATAGAAATACTGTCATTGCCGCTGGGTTCTCAGGTGCAGTTCTGCGGCATTTCAAGTCTCCAGCCGCTGTGCAAGTTAGTAACACAGTTCAGCTTTGCCTTTCTTTATTTCTCTCCCATTGTGTCAGAAAACAAACAAGTTACTCGAGACAGTAATTTTCTCTGTAAAAGTCACCTCTATTTTTTCCAAAAATAAATCTGCAATAAATCATAAGCCTACTTACTTTTTCTTCTTCCCCTTCCTTTACAGGCCATATTTGTTCCTGTAGCAAACCTATAAGAGAACACTTTCTCTCTATGACCTGAGATAACGGTAATGTTGAAAGAATGGCCTCACTTGTCAAAGATTAGAGGGCTGTCTGCAGCCTACACTCCTCTTTACTAGAGCCAAATAGGCCCAATAAATGCTAATACTCAGCATGACGCATCGAGAACGCTAAGCCTCAACACTGACTAAGAAGAAAGTATCACAAATTTACTGAAATTATCTATAGCACAATAGAGAAGAGAAGGAATTAATCAAAGTCTCTCTCTTAATGCAATGCTTGATTGAACTATCCCAATCCCTTTTTAAATAGGATAACCTAGTGGCAAGTGACCCCAATGACACATCCTAGAGAGGTACACAAGTACCACTTGTTCGATTTTTTTTCTTTTATGACCTCATTAAGAAGGATTTTGAAGATTGTTCCTGAATATGAGAACAAAGTGTCTGAATATATCTCTAGCTTTTCATGTCTTTAGCCTTTTGCCATTGAAATGGCTTCTGAACAAGTGTTTATAAACTAAGTATGTGCACAAGCAAAAAAAAAAAAGTCCTTAAAATGAAACTGAGTAAAGCTGCCTTTTCTCAAGTGCAAAGACTAGCTAAGTCTCCAAGAAATGAGAAAGTTTTGCCAAGACGAACTCATGATCGAATCTACCCCCCGCCCCGTTCTCCCTCCCTCTCCTTCCCTGCTATAGACCCCATTAATTAGATTTGGCGGCAATTTTCCCTTCCTTATCAGGGAAGACAGAGTCTGCCAAATCTGGTAGTGTGAAAATACTCCATCGCCAGTAACGTTTTTTCCTAAGTGTTTGTTGATTCCATGCTTGGATTTAATATAGAGGATTATATTTTATAACCAGAAACAAACAAACAGATTTATAACTGAAGACCGAAAGGCAAACAGCAAAAAAAAGCAAGCCAAGTACTGAACCTAAATGTAGCACTTTTATTGACTTCTTAGAAACCAAATAACCTGGCATATTAGTGTGTGCATTCTGCAACAGACATTCAGCCCCATTGTACTACTTAGAAGAGAATAAAAAGAAACCCTACTGTTTGAAATCCAGCGGAACATCCCCACAACAGAGCACAACTGTTCCCTCATGCATGAATGGGAAGGAGATGAAAGAAAAGATGGACTTCTGAGGTACAGCAAAAAACAAAGACAACAAAAGTGCTGATCATGAGGGAATGACACAACTCATTGCTGCAAAAAGGATGAGAGAAAGGAGCTCAAACAATGGTGCAGACAGCTAAGTGACATGTAGAAGAATTGAAAAATCTACAGAAGTGTCTTTTCTTTCCACACTTGACGAGAAACAATTAAATGTTGGTACATCTGTCATAAAAAAGATAACTGAAACCTGTTACCATCATTATAGACGGTAACTTAACTACCAAAACTGTAACTGTCCAATTAAATGTTGCCCCCTCTGTTATCTACACCACTTGCTAAAATGAAAAAAATCCCTTTAATGCTTGTGATGATTTACTACCAGTGTAGCAGCTACAAGCCACAGAGCTGAAACTGGCATATTTTATAAGGTAGACATTTAGACTGTAGGGTACCTACATCTACTTGTACACACACAGATGGGGGAAAGCAGGCACACAGGAGTGCATGCAGGCTCACATGCGTGAGCGCACACATTCATGCACACACTCTTGCACACCCACTAGCGAGGATGAATCCTGCAAGCAGATGAGGTTTTTGATAAGGAATCCAAAAAACCACGAATAATTGCCAGAAGCCTCACTAGGTGTTTACCCCCTGAACATCCACCAGCCTGCAAAAACAACGCTGTGCTGAACTAACCCATCGACTGTTGCTTTTTGCTTTGTAACACGCGACATCCCACAAAACTGCAAAGCAGTTATTGACCCTGTCAGAATACCTGATTAATGGATAAATGCTGTAATTGATTAGCAGAGAAGTGTGAATTAAAACAGAATACAGCATCAATAATGAGCCGCTGACAAAAGGTAGCTGACATAAAATGTAAAATGGTAGTCTGCAGCCATAAAATGTAAAATGGTAGCCTGCAGCCATATCTCATCAAAGACATGCATTTCTTAAAAACAGAAGGAAACACCACCCCTGAAAAAAACCCCACAAGCGCAGTGTCCTGTTCTCCGCATTCTTTAGGCTTTTCGCTTGGTAATGATTAAACCGCCAGCAAAATGTTATGGGAACTTCTCGTGAATCCACCTTCATGCATCAAACCAGGCAAGGCAGTTAAATGCCTCCATTATCCTCTGCGCTTCTCTAGCCTTAAAGAAATGCGCTGCTCTCCATTTTATCCCGGTGATCTGTGATTTTGGAGCAGCGCCTGATGCACCCAAAGCTGCCTTCAGCAGAGTGAGCAGGCAATCCCCCAGTTCGTAGGTACATCAGGGAGCCCCACACCGGTGTAATGCTGAAGAGACAACTACAATCACCACATTGTTAAACTCGTTTTCCATTCCCTTGAGGGCCTTAGGAGGACAAATGATCCCACTTTTGTTCCTTTTCCTTTCTGATTTAATCCTACTCTAATGCCCTTCATTATGCCTGACATTATATGAAATAGATTATATAGATTTTATATAGCACCCGCAAACACACATGTGATGTTTCTCCACTGTGGGAATTCAAGTTTAATAACGCAGTGTGAGAAGCACTGAGTTGCTTCTTTTCATGTCACCTGTGTTGGTCTTCCCATTATTTAGGCACTGTGCATTATTACTCTGTGCATTAGGCAAGTTGACTCACCTAATGTAATGCCATCAGACATATCAAAGCTGCTCTGGTACAAGCAGAAAAAGAAAACATTAGCTTGAGTAGAGCACTTAATGCAATTACGTTGCTCTGACTTCCTGAGCTAGCTCACTCAGAAGTAATTTAAGCATTTCTACATGACATTGCATTGTATCCAGCAAACATAGCCTCTGCTCAAAATACTTCTTGCTACAGGGTAAAGCTCTTGGAAGCCTCTGTGTTGTACTTTTCCCCCTTTAAGTTAAATACCAGAAGCTGTTACACTAAAGATACCTGCTTGTAGTTTCCATATGGAAAATACAAATAATGAAAAGCAAGAACGGCATTACTATCTTGTAATGACTTTGTCCAAATTGTCTTTAATCTGATTTTGTCAATTTGATGACTGTTTTACATTCCTCTGCAAAATATAATGCGCTTTTTGTAACAGGTCTACAAGCTCATAGATACATATTCAAGATATAATCACTCAGAAATCCATGTCTTTTCAGGTAATTCTTTCTTTTTTCTGTCAGCTAACCATGAGCTTTATTTTGGCTGCAGAATTGCTTTTCTGCTTCCCCTGTTGCTTTGGGACTGCTCCTTTTCAGTGTCATCATGACTTTTTCAGTTTAAATGATTTCCCAATTCAGGAGTAAACTTCATCCCACCTCACACTAGTAACTTAAATCATTACTTTTGTAGGTTACCCCTACGATCAACCAAGAGAATCACACACGTACAAAGAACAAGTCATCTAGCAAGCAAGCTTGGTATTTTTGGGATAGAGGACCTGCCCTCCTGATGTGCCTCCTTCCCATTACTGACTGTAGAAGTTTCCCCAACAACTTGCACTTTCAAAGCTACAGCTACAGTTTCTCTTAGCACTGTATTGCAGTGCCCTCCATCCCCAGCAGCTGTTTGTGAGGAGCAGGGATGAAGAAACAAAGTGTGCTCTGATGGGTCCCCACCCCACTGCAGAACATCTCCAGTCCAGGATGAGCCCCCTCACAGGCATTTCTTTGTCCTAAAACATGACTGGACAAGAGGAGGGGCAGGTCACTGTGTATATGAGCATGTCCCAGGGAAGGGGAGCCGGGGTCCTCTATTGCCTGTGCTGCCTGAGAGATCCTGCTCTCCAGGATTGTACCTGCTGTTTTCGAGAAAGCTGAGGCATAGGTAAATTCTGGTCGTGTAAAAAGCCATTGGTATTACTTTCTTGCTCAGCTTCAACACAGCAAATGGCCTGATGACTTGGGCCTTTTTGGAGTGGCATGTTTGAACCTGCTTAGGGTGCTGGTGTGACTGAGGCCAGATCTCACTGCCTAGGCAGGTGGGGTGGCACTGATATATCAGAAAGCACTGATTTTTTAAGAATGAAACAAGGAGACAGCTATTCCTTGGAATAACTGCTTTACCTACCTGGCTGCAGGGGGCCTGCTGGTGCTGGATCCTGAGCGCTGGGGTACAGCTGCCCATAGCCCTGATGCAGAAGCTTGCAAACAAGAATGGGAGAGCTCACACCATCTGCAACCATGTAGAAAACACCAACACCCTACTGCTTGTTATCAAACTCAGAACAGTTTGGGTTCTTTTTTTTTTTTCAGGTATTAAATCTTGCCTCCTTTCCTCAGATGTTTTTATATTGTACTGTAAAATATGAAACCTGGTTTTAACCTGAAAGCGTAACACATGCTTCCAGCGGCCCAAAAGAGGAGCCTACCAAAAAAAAGTACCGAAAAGAGACAAAGTTCCATCAATTTCAATGGAAACAGGATTAGGCCCTTTAACATTTTTGGTTGGTTTTTTTTTGTTTGTTTTTTTTTGGCAGGGAAGGGGAGAGCCGAAACTCTGGCAGCTGAAGGTTCAGCTTGATCCCCAGGACTTTTAAAGAAGACATTCTTCTCCACGGCTATTGTCAGAGCTGGAGACAAAACAAGTAGAGGCCCTTTCAGCTTCTGAACTTAGCCAAAAAGCCATTTGTAACTCCTGCGGAGCGGTGCTTTCATAGGTCAGGGCAAACTCCATAAAGATTTTCTCTTGTTTTCACTCTCTTTCGGAAGATCTAGTTAGAATCCAGAAAGTCAGCTCAGAAATTAGAAAAAACACTTCAGCACATTACAAACAGTGGTAGAAGGATCTCTAAGCACATTGTTTTAATGACAGTTTTCTGATTCAGAGTTATATTTTTCTGGCCTCCACACACACCTACAGTGGTCATTGCTTCAGACATTGTTCTCCATGAATTTTTGGTTGTTTGAGTCTTTAGATATCTTGGTGTATGGGTTATAAAGCAGTTTTGGAGTCTAATATTAGTTTATAGTCCCTTAACATTACAGACCTGCAACAGTTTTACAAAAAGCATCTTAATACCAATCAGTAGGTGCTAAACTTTTCTTCCTAATAAAATACAATCAAATTGGCCAGATGAGAGGGGTGCAGGAAACTACAAAGGAAACGCCAAGGTAACAGCCTTGCTCTGTTTTTGTATCCGACCAGTGGGGCCAACTCAGTTTCCTGGAGTATACATCTGACTGCACCATAAGGGCTGCTTGAGTGTGCAGTCTTTAACTGAAATAGTGATTCTAGTACCTGGGGGACGAGATCCTCACCTAAAAATACCTGCCCTCCCCCAATAAACACAACTGGAACTATTTGCTATGGAAAAAAAAAAGGAACAAATCCTACAGAATGGAACAGTATAAAAGGACATGCAGTCAAATAGAAAAAATGAGAGGTACAAAGTGTGATGGAAGGACACCAGAGCCATGTAATTAGTATCAGAGCAGAAAACAAAAATGAGCATTTTATCAATGTAGAACATTTTAGACCCCCCCATCCACTCTTCCTGATAAAACATAGCTCCCATAAAAACTCCATTTATTGTCATGACTGAATAGAAAAAAAAATAGCAACAAAAAATTGTCATTAGCTAACTTATGGTCACATTTAAAGAGAAGCATCTTGTTTAGATACACCTTGTCCCCATGAGAATGCATGGTAAAATCAAAGATGTTTTCAGACAGTGGTGTATCCAAAGCCTGCTAAACCCAAACACAATCTCTAATGTGTGCAGGTGTTGAACAGTTACATTGGTACACAGAGGGATTGGCTGGCCTATATTCATGTTTACAGCAGTGGTGGATGAGTTACATTTGAGTGAGTTAGAATGTTTTCCTGGTGCTTTTGCAAGGTGAAAATACATACCTTGTTTCACTCCAAGAAGCATTCCGCCTTTTTAGCGTATTATTTTCTGTCAGTCCAAAGCATAATAGGTTGCCCTACATTTGATGTATTCCATAATTTCTTTAAAGCACTTTGAATACTACCTAGAGACGTTGTCTATCATTAATTTGCACTCACAACTGAGGACATGAAAGAATAGCTCCAGAGATACAGAGAAGTTACACCATGTACAGCAGAAGGATGCTTCACAAACAATTTTGGAATTGGTTGTTGTTTGTTTTTTATTACATGGGTAAATTAGGGTAGCTAAATCCTGCAAAATGAGGCCTGTTTCTGAAAACATCTGAAGCTCTTAATTCACCAGCTGAAGTCACATGGAAGTGAAGACAACCATTTGGAAACAGGAGTTTCTGTTTCTAGAAGGTTACTGCGGATGAAAACTTCTCACTGCGCTTAGGCAAGCATCAGCCAGTTTAAGAAGCTGCTGGTGTGTGTGCACAAGTTAATCTAAAGTCATGCAAGGGTGTTTTCTATGTAATACTAATGAAATACATTCCAAAGTTATAGATATGTAACATGCATTTACAGGACTTAGGCTAAATTGACATGTATGGTTACCTATAATGCTTAGCCCTTATACTGGAAATGTTTCATGCAGTATGGATCTTTTTAGCTTACCACAGCTAAATGTAATCAGTAAAATGTGTTTCTTTCCCACATTCAGCTCTCCCTCCACTTTCAGGGTAAGTTGGTTCAAGAAAACACTTTTCTCTGCTACACGCACACACAAAGATTTAACACCCCTTTTTCAAAGAACACAGACATTTGGCATAACCCAGCATAATGACCAGCATCTTTACAGATTTTGTATTACACAAATGAGATGGATTTCTGCCCAGTGGAGTTTATAGCAAAATCCTGTGCTGTAATTCCACCCTGGCAAATCTCTTTAGCATGTAGCTATCAGTGTCATGAGATGCAGTAAGATAAGAGGTTTTTCCAGGGTTATTTTTTGTTTGATTGGGTTTTTTTTTTAATACTGTGTCTTTTACTTGTGTACCATAAGATTTATATCTGTATAAAGTCTACTCCCAAAATAAGCAAATAGGAAACTTGGTGACTTTGTTCTAACCTCCTCCTCCCTGCTGCCAAGAAAAAAAAAGCTTCCAGATGAAGTCTTTCTCAATGGGTTACTTAGTTCACCGGTGTCAAACTCAGTTCACTTTTAATTACTGGCCTCTGAAAAAATGCCAGAGCAGGAAAAACAGTTCAAAAAGTCTTTATAATTAATTCCCTGTTATTCAATTCTGCATTAGTGAAGTTCAAATGATTTTCATATTCTGCTTGTAAATTGGAAATTCCAACATGAATGGCAACTGCTCAGTCCTCATGCAAACCCTTCTGCAGTCACAGGGCTAAGCCTGGATGGGTAGTCTCAAAGGGGTGCCAAATATTCTTTAACCCAACGGTATTAGCTTTGTGGTATAATAAAGTGAGTTGCTCTTAGAGTCAGCTGCAAACTGGAAGTCTTTTTATATTTCATCTTCAGGTCAGCGTGCTCACCTTTTTTCATGACTTGTGGTGATCTATCTACTTTTCATATTTAATGTGAGTTCCACATGAGCAACATAAACCTTTTTTATGTTTCTGTAGGTAAAATGAATCACACAACACTCCATATAAAGTTTTGCTTTTTAAAGTCGTCCATCTTTTAGGATAAGACATAAAGATATCAAGTTGAAAAGAAGTACAAAGATCTTAGTAAAAACCACAGGGATTGCAGAAGATTGTTGTCCCTAAAAATGGTGTGAAATTAGGATGCCTTCACTCCTTTAAAAATGTAACAACTTCTGATGCAGAGGTTAGGTTTTTTCCTAATATTCCTACCTGCTTCTAACCTGAGTGTGGCAGATTAGTACTACATACTATGCTACCCTGGTTTGTACCAGACAGTTCTTAATGACTTTGAAATAGTTTTAGTCACACATACTCTGAACCTGCCACTTGCTTTCAATATTCCCATAGGACTCATGCAGGCTCCCAGGCCCTGGAGCCATGCCCAGGGCAAGGAGGGAGCTGCAGCAGGCACAACCTGCCATCCCGAGAGATGCTGCTCGCCGTTAGCCCTTTCTCCATGTTCAACTCCCTGGGTGACAGCCCAAGGCTGAAGCAGAGCCCCAGGGACCCTGGCCGGCATCTCCCCCATCCGGCTGCTGGAGAGGGATGCTGAGGGGAGGCCAGCCTGGCGCCCCGGCACGCTTATCTTCTTCCGCCCGCGTGTGTGGATGCCAACTCTGGCATCCATAAAACTGGGTTACATCAAACGGACCAACCGCCGTCATCTCCCCGTTATTACCCCGACACAAGCACTGACAAAAGGCCGCTGCCAAGGCCTCTGCTGACAGGCGGAACAATAGCGGCAACAAAGGCCTTTTCTGCCTGCGCAGATGACATAAATCTGATGCTATAACGCCGGCGCGACTTCAGCTTGCTCCTTATTTATTTATTTAATAAGCCACTGTCATCCATCTCAGGAAGGTGGCTTCCAAACTCCAAATTAATCAAGCCACTGAATGTGAATTTCCATATTGCTCTGCCAAAGGTCTTCTCCACATCAATTGCTGGGAGAAGGCCCCTGTTGTGCTTTGGTGTATTGTGCGCGGCGCTACTGCTTCTGCTAAAAGCCACTCTGTTTTTAATAAACATGCATTGTTCTTTTTGTAGTAAATCCAGGAAATAATACCCAACTGGGAATTTCGGTGCAGGCTCTTTCTGTAGCGTAAGTGGAGCGGTGGATGCATTTTCATGTCTGTTAGTGTTGTGATGGCTCCATTTGTTACTGCTTGGAAGGTATTTCATTTTGCAAAAATATAAATTAAGCAAATATTGAGGCAATGTTTTCTTGTTTATCTTGGAAAACCCCAAGCTGTGGCCACTGATCCAGCATTTCTGTGTTGGTCACATCACTTAACCAACAGGAGGGTCAGCTCAAGGTGCCCCGTGCTCAGCCATTTACCCGACTGCCAGAGCATGATCTTCCGGAGCACTCTGAGTGAATTACCTCAGCATTACTGAATTCAATGAGATAAAAAAGCCACTGACTTAATGGAACCAGGATTTTGTTTGTCTGCCTTTAAAAATTCTTCAGTTAACAAAATATCAGGTCTTAAGCCTACACGAGTTACTTGTTTCCTTTAGGCAGGCTGTGAAGAGAAAAGGCAGCTCCCCACAGGACAGTTCCTCATCACTTTCTCAGTGATGGGATGAAAATCATGATTTCTTCCTCTTTAATACACACCTACCACCCTGTGTTGTATGACCTGTACCACCTCACCTGCTGA